TGCGTCCACATATTGAAAACGCAATGTCTTTTTTACCCCAAATGTAGCGATTATCCCCTGCTAACAGCGGGAGCCATATTCATTTGACTTTTTGGCCTTATAAATATAAGAATCTGCACCATATTTTTGCTCCGTTTGGGCCTCTGAATAAAACTGATGTGTTTTTCCTCCTTGATTATGAGCTCCATATTCTCACTATATCATACTATATGAGCCATAAAAGCCTGATATATCAAATATGACACTCAGTAAATGAGTTTAATTGACAATTAAAAAGTCTAGTGTTTTTCTGAATAAAATGTTTCTGACTTATTTCATATGTCAGGGTTTCCAGGGTTAAATTATAGTGCAAAAATCTCTACAAACATTAAAAGTAGATCTCAGGGAGAAAAAAGAAGAAATCGATATTAGGGGTGTGGAAATTAATCGTTGCATTCTACATTCTACATCAATGCAGTAATAGACCATAATCGATTATAGCCTTCTGACGTCATTCGCATACGCGCTTGTCACGCAAATATTAAAAATGCACGCTCTAGTCTAGTTTAAAATTTGAGCTTGGCTTTTCCCGCATATGGCAGGTGTGTGCGCTAGAGACAATCGCGGCGGCTTCACTGCACAACATATGCGCTGTGAGGCACGTGCGCATTGCTTGACAATGCTTCCACTCGCTGTTATTTTAGGCTTTTACTTTAGATATGCTTTCATTTCTGCCGTTTGGAACGCAGTCCATATTAGATGCACAAAACTCACGTACTGATAGACTTTCACGAGCACTTTGTGTTTGTTTGTCCTGAAGCTCGCGGCTGCGGTTAAATACACTTGCATCTACGTTTATGATACGAAATTGATGTAAACACAGCCAGTTATGTTTTCAGAACAGGACAAAACATCTCGAAATAGATCTGTGCATTAGTGTGACTGCAGTCTATTCAAGCTGCCACTGTCTATGCTCTCATCACTAATAACCAAATGCCAATAATGCGGAGGAAAAAAGAAAAACCCATAACTATGATTGTCTGTAAACTTTCGGATACTTAAACAAAAAGCACTTTCAGTATTGGGAGTGCTTTTTCACTTGTAATTGTCTTTTTTTCCCCCCTTTATTACTTAATATTTGCTTGCATGTTTTAAAAGCTATATTTACTTTTAGTTCTTAAACATAAACAATTAATTAATCTATTAATTAACATAATTATTTTAAACAGTAGCCTGCATATATAATTTAATAAAAATGCTCAAAATCAAGAGTAGCGTTAGTTCTGGCAGGTCATGTTAGTCAAGCTTGAACCAGCTGACTCTCAGCTGATCCCCATCAACCTATGGGAATATGACACCTATCTAAGTATTCATATATAAGGTCCTGCAGTAGTATCAGCAGTTTTCGCATTGCTCAATAGCTAATTACCCTCCTCCATCCCCAGCTCCTCCTTTGTCAGTCGGGATTCAGCCTTCTGATTCTCCTTTGAATCAGACTAATTCTAAAATGTGTACATAAAATTATTGAAATTGAACAATATCTGCAATATATTTATGTTGGTTCTGTTCTGTTTATTGCTGTTATTGCTGCCCTCCCTGCTCTCATTCATGCTAAGCTGCATGGATGCGCAGGGAGTTCTTGCCCAGAACAGAACCATACCACCAATCCAAACTGTATGCTAACTGTCAATCATCTTTGACGATAGTGGTCCTGACAGAAATAAATTTGATATAATCTTGATGCATTGTGATATCGAATTGATTCGAATCGTTGACCAGTGCCGATTCACAGCCCTAATCAAAATGTATGCTGATATGTTTAGACAGCAGTGAAAGGAGGTGAAGACAGTCTGCAGCACTCACAGCTCTCGGCCGTTTCCTGACATCTTGTATCCTCCGAACGGAGCTTGAGCATGTAAAGCGTTGTAGCAGTTCACCCTGGAGGACAGAAAGAGACATGACCTTTGACCTCACCTGGAAAATATGTGCTCTCTCATTGCTGTATTGCATTTTCAGACATAATTAATTATATACAAATTCAAAAGGCCATATTTAGGTCAGAGAGATCCCAAAACTATGTATGTTTAATTATATATTATAATTATATATTTATATATTACATATTTATGTATCTATTAATATGCATGTGTGTGTGTGTACACTGCCGTTGAAAAATTTGGGATCAGTAAGACTTTAAAAACTTAATGTTTTTAAAATAAGTCTCTTCTGCTCACCAAGTCTGCATTTTTTGATCAAAAATACAGAAAAAAACAGTAATATTGTGAAATATTTTTACAATTTAAAATCATGTTTTTCTAATTTAATGTATTGTAAAATGTAATTTATTTCTGAGATGCAAAGCTGAATTTTCAGCATCATTACTCCAGTCTTCAGTGTCACATGATCCTTCAGAAATCATTCTAATATACTGATTTTTTTAGGCAGTGGCTATTTACACTAAGTGCAAATAAGCATATTTTCTTGCCGATAGATACTATTTACACTAAGTGCAAATAGCTATAGATTCTATTTACATTTTCTGCTATTTATCCTACTTATTGCAAATAGTGGCAATTATCTGCACCTCAGTATTGTAGTACATTATAAAACAGTACGCAACAATAACGTATTGAGTGTAAATTATAATTTTAATTCAAATTAGTAAATGCATGCCACCTTATTGGGACAATAAAGCCCTCCCTACACCTACCCTAACCCTACCCGATACTTTATTTTCAACTTTTTGATTATTTTATTTTATTGAAAATAAATGCCTTTCCGATGCGACATTAGATTTGAAAAGGGAGAAAAAAAGTTCGGCAAAAGGCAGATTCGAACTCGGTTCAATCGCATCTAAATACGCGCCTTACCATCTACACCACCGACCCTGATATTTAACAAGCATCTTTTTTCAGTGTTGACTATCCCAATCATACATTGGTGGGTGGAGCTAGTGTAAATAGCCTCTGCCAATAAGTTTTTTTTAACCCTTTAACTGTCACCCGTCCCCTCTGTGGGACGCCTAAGTTTCCTTCACTATATTACAATTAAATCCTAATCTAATCATGACAAACTATATATCATTGGAAAGGTCTAAAACTCCTAAATAGATATTTTTCCAATGTTTTTGTTAAAAATTATGTAGGAAAAGTACTAGATTAATTTTTGACAAGAGTGCACCTCAAAAATCTACATCATATCAGGAGTCTTCTCCTGATCTTCTTTGTTGCCTTTTTCTCTATCACACTTTAGAAATCATCAGAAATTATATATCAATTGAAAACTTTAAATCTCAAAATTCATCCTTTGAAACCCATTTTAAAATCAAACATTGTATTACCATGAAAATGGTACATCAATTTCATGTTACAAAATGTTTTCGTTCATGAATTATAAAAATGTAAGTTTGGATCGTGCACTTTCATGTCTGTGTTCAAAAATGACAGTTAAGGGGTTAATCAATGTTGGAAACTGTTGTGCTGCTTGATATTTTTTGGAACCTGCAATATTTTTTTTCAGGATTCTTTGATGAACAAAAGTTAAAAAGAAGACTATTATTCAAAACATACTGTAAATATTTTTTAACAATTTTATAAGTCACTTTTTTTTATCAGTTTAACACATCCTTGCTGAATAGAAGTATTATTTCTTTATTACTGTCTTTTCATTTCAAGTTTTCTTATTATTTAAATAATTTTGTGCCCATCTAGGCCCAGGGTAATTATTATTAAATTAGATTGCGTTATATTGTTCATTCCGCTCTGTAAGATATCAGTCTTAAAAACCCATATTGATCGACCACTGGATTTTGTATTTATTTTGATTAAAAGCTTAGAGTGTAACTGCAGGAGTTTAGCGAGTCTCTAACCAGACGGTTCCAGCCTCCAGCGCCGCAGACACGCTCATGGCGCGATGGATGTCTCGTGTGAAGACAGCCGCTGTCAGGCCGTACTGTGTGCCGTTGGCTCTGTCGATCACCTCCTCCTGCGTCTTAAACTTCATGATGCACTGAACCGGCCCGAAGATCTGGAAAGCACGGATGTACAGGTGCTGACAGGAATAGTGCATGCAAAAGGAGCATTTTACGTGACTAAAAACTAAAGGAGCTCATTTGCATTCAACAGCAGTTCATGATCATTGCTTTCAAGCTCCATAATGGACATAAATGCACCTGTTTACTGTACGACTTCAGAGGTCTTATACTTTTATGAGATTTTATGGTGTTTTTTGTCCTATTTGGAGCTTGACAGACGTGGTCATATGAGCGGTTGTGGTACAGAAAAGAGCTGCAAGAACATTCTTCAAATCCTCATTTACTGTCTAGTGAAAATATATAACATATAGGTTTGGAATGACATGACTATTATGTGTGTGTGTGTGTATATATATATATATATACTGTATGATTAGAAACATGAACGAAATTTCAAATTTAAATATCTTTAAATATATATATATATTAAAATATGTTTTATATTTAAATATAAAATGTTATATATATATAACAATCACAGTGTTATTATTGTTGTAACTAAATAAGTAAATATTGAATGAAATTTGAATGAAATTTCAAAGTTAAAATGTTTTTATTTAAATATTCATAAAATATATATAAAAATATGTAAAAAAAAAAATCATACTGATTTTATCTTTTATTATTATTATTACACATTTTAAAAAATGGATTTAATCAACAATTAATCAACTCCCTATCTGGCAATCTGAGGAAAATTTCAAAGTTAAAATGTTTTTTAAATATTCATAAAATATATATAAAAATATGTAAAAAAAAATCATACTGATTTTATCTTTTATTATTATTATTATTACACATTTTTAAAAATGGATTTAATCAACAATTAATCAACTCCCTATCTGGCAATCTGAGGACAGAAACAGATCAGATGTCTATAATGGCACAATCATCCAGCAGGTGGCACTACAGGACACCAATTCAGATTCCTGTCACCTGAAGAACTCTGTGTAGCCCAAAGTTAAGGTTATGTAAAAGAATCTAAAATAAATGACCTCCCATTCAATTAAAATATTTATGGTTCACTGGATGAGCCATGGGGGGATTCTTTAATCTAAATAGGACAATTGTAGGTTTTTAAATAAGGGAAACCATTTTTATGTCATTTTAAGGGAAATAAAAAATGAAATTTAAACTTTTAATTTACAATTGTATTACACCTGCCCTACATGTAGCTGCTTTTCCATATGTTTAACTATTGAAAGTGCACATGCTCCAGCACAGAGGAGCGTCGTACCTCTTCTTTGGCGATGCGCATGTGGTCTTTGACATCAGAGAAGATGGTGGGATGGATGAACAGACCTCTGTCCTCCACCGCACAGCCTCCGCACTCCAGCGTCGCCCCCTCCTTCTTCCCACTGGCCACCAGCTCCAGGATCTTATCAAACTGATGCTGGTTGATCTGACCCAACATCAGAAACACATAAACAATCTGCACACAAGAAGAGAAAGCACTCAGAAGTTAAAACGAGTCGCTCACCTGCGGCCCGTGTGAGGTTCGTGGCTCCAGAGGGTCTCCGATCGCAATATTCTTGGCTCTTTCCACACTGAGACGCAAAAACTCGTCGTAAACCGCCTCTTCCACGTAGACGCGTGACGCAGCAGTGCACGCCTGACCCTGGTTAAAGAATGCGCCCTTCTGCGTCTCCTCCACCGCCGACTGCACTGCACACACACACACACACACACACTTTATACAACACACTTACTCTTTTCCCATGCCCTTATGCTTTACGCAGCGGTGCCAATGTTCATGCTTAGATTCATTTGTAAACTTTATAACATCATGCATTATATCACTACACCCTTTCTGGAGTTTAATGAGCTGTGCATTAGTGTAAATCTGGGTTTGTGTGCAGATGTGAACATGCATAATAATAGACGCATGTGAAGCAGTGAGTTCACAGATGCACGGGTGGTCTGGAGTATTGCAACATCACTGGGGCTGAATAAACTCCAGCCAAAAAAACAACCCGCACCACAATCAAATGCACTTGAATCAGACAGTACTCTCTACCTTACTCTTATATGTACCGCTTAACCCTGTAAAGCCTACTGTGTCATATTAGCTATATATACAGTACTGTGCAAAAGAATATTAGGATTTTCACCAAAAAAAAAAAGGTTCTTTTGCTGTAGTGTGTCAGTAGGAAATATCAGTTTACATTCCCAAACATAATTCTGCCATTAATTGTAATAATCCAGTGAGATTTTTGTATGCATAAGGAATCTGACAACAGCCAGTGCTCCACACAGAGATCTGGGCCCGTATTCTTAAGACCTCTTAAGACCTCTTTTAAGGGTTAAGATGCTTTCTGAATTACTTTTTTCTTTACTAGGATCTTTTCTTTCATTTTAAGAGGAATCACCCACATTTCTAAGAATTTTCTTAGAATTTTGTTACTAGGAGCAACTCTTAGCACTAAGATTTTCATGAATAAGGGCCCAGATCTCATCATCATCATCAGTCTGTCTGGGATTACATAAAGAAACAGAACAAACTGAGAAGAACTAAATCCAGAAGAACTGTGCCAACGTCTCCAAGACACTTATAAAAACTTTTATGGTGAAAATACCAAAGGCCTAAGACTTTATATATACATATATATATATATAGACACACACACACACACACACACACACACACACACAGGCTTGTCTGGGTAATTAAATAATTTGCATTTATGTATTTGGCAGAATGCTTTTATCCAAAGCAACTTGCATTGCATTCAAAGCATGCATTTTATCAGTTCATGCATTTCCTGGGAATCAGATCTAGGAGCTTGGCATTGCTGTACCATGCTGTACTGTTTGAGCTGTCAAAAATGTCTGAATGTCATTGCATTAGACGAAAAATGACAAAACATGCACTCAAATGCTGCAGAAGCTTCACAACACTTAAAATTCTTAAATCAAGATGCATTTATTTGAGAAGCATAATGACATATGATATTAAGATTTGTTTGCTGAAAAATTTATCAAAACTAAGTAACTTTTTTCTTAGATGAGATGAGAAAAAAACATCTGCCAATGGGGGTAAGAAAAATTATCTTAATTCTAAGGGAAACTATATTTTTTTCTTGCATCCTTGCTATATATTTTTTTCCAATTTTAAAGCAGAAAGTAAGTTTTCATAAATTTTTCAGCAAACAAAACTTAATATCATCTATATGACTATAATGTCATTATGCTTCTCAAATAAATGTATCTTGATTTAAGAATGTTTAGACATTTATAATGGAAAACAAGACAAAAATACTAAGTAAGGAACTTTGCTTAACTATGAACATGTTCCACTAATGAGCCACAAAGACAAAATACTGTTTGGTTTTAGTTTCAATGCTAAATTTAAACCTTAGTAAGATTTCAAGTCATGTTCATTTGAATAAACATTTTATTACATTAATTACTATATAATGTAATGTTGTATTGTATTAGTGTGCTATTTAGTAATAATATTACTAATACATAATAAAAATAATTAGTTTTTTTTTTTAATGAAATGAAAACCCATCGTATGGAAGCCCATTTCCGCCACTGAATAAAAAATAAAAGAGGTAATTGCAACTTTTTATCTCACAATTCTGACTTTTTTTCTCAGAATTGCATGATATAAACTTGCAATTGCGAGACAAAGTCGCAATTCTGAGAAATAAAGTCAGAATTGCGAGAAAAAAAGTCAGAATTACAAGAAAAAAAGTCAGAATTGCAAGAAAAAAAGTCAGAATTGCAAAAAAAAAGTCAGAATTACGAGAAAAAAAGTCAGAATTGCGAGATTTAACTGGCAATTGCGAGATTATATCTTACAATTCTGTGAAAAAAGTCAGAATTGCGAGATTTAAACTTGCAATTGCGAGATTATATCTTACAATTCTGTGAAAAAAAGTCAGAATTGCGAGATTTAACTGGCAATTGCGAGATTATATCTTACAATTCTGTGAAAAAAAGTCAGAATTGCGAGATATAAACTTGCAATTGCGAGAAAAAAAGTCAGAATTCCGAGAAAAAAAGTCGGAATTGCGAGAAAAAAAGATAGAATTGCGAGAAAAAAAGTCCGAATTGTGAGAAAAAAAGTCAGAATCGTGAGATTTAAACTTGCAATTGCGAGAAAAAAAGTCACAGAATTGCGAGAAAAAAGTCAGAATTGCGAGATTTAACTGGCAATTGCGAGATTATATCTTACAATTCTGTGAAAAAAAGTCAGAATTGCGAGATTTAAACTTGCAATTGCGAGAAAAAAAGTCGGAATTGCGAGAAAAAAAGTCGGAATTGCGAGATATAAACTCGCAATTGCAAGAAACAAAGTCAGAATTGTGAGAAAAAAAGTCGGAATTGCGAGAAAAAAAGTCAGAATTGCAAAAAAAAAAGTCAGAATTGTGAGAAAAAAAGGCAGAATTGCGAGATTTAAACTTGCAATTACGAGAAAAATAGTCAGAATTGCGAGATTTAAACTTGCAATTGCGAGAAAAAAAGTCACAGAATTGCGAGAAAAAAAGTCTGAATTTTGAGTTTTTATCTCGCAATTGTGACTTTATGTCTCGCAATTCTGACTTTATAACTGGCAATTGTGTTTATATCACGCAATTCTGAGAAAAAAAGTCCGAATTCTGACATTATATCTCGCAATTCTGACTTTATAACTGGCAATTGCGAGTTTATATCTTACAATTCTGTGAAAAAAAGTCAGAATTGTGAGATAAAAAGTCGCAATTACCTTTTTTTTTTTTTTTTTTTTCAGTGGCGGAAACGGGCTTCCATACCATCGATTAGTAAATTTAGATTTTAATTTATTAATCTAGCAAATATACTAGCATTTATGCAGAGTGACTTAAACATGAAGATAATACAAAGAGAAAAAATTTCCAAAAGAGAAAAACAAGTCATTTCAATCCATTCAATTTTTTACAAAATTATTTATATATAATTTATAATAATTATAAATTATAAATTATAAATTAAAATGATTTATATATGTATTTACTTATGCATCTTATTCTATTGTACTTATTTTATTGTTTTAATTCATAAAAAGTAACACATTTTTTTTTAAAAACCTCAATGCCACAATGGATCAATTAAAATCATATATTCCAGAGAACCATGTAATACGTTATTATACACGTAACAAACCTGCAAATGTTTGATTAAGTGTTGCTTTCCCTGAAAATGAATGCACTTGGGTTTTGTTTTCTACTGCAATGACATTCAGAAGTGTCTCTTAAGTGTCTAAATACTCTCCCCTCTTTTAAACAGAGAGCAGCAGCTCTTCATCTGGGAGGATGCTGCACATATCGTTCCCATTCCCTGTTTTTCCCAGCGCGGTCGTTATTGTCTGAGCGGTGGGATCTGGAAAACCACATCACTCACGGTCTGAGTCAGCAAACACAATGCAGGGGTTTTTCCCTCCCAACTCAAGAGTCACTCTTTTCAGGTTGCTCTTGGCCGCCGCCGCTTTGATCAGCTGGCCCACCTGAACACAAACACAGCGCAGGACAATAACCAGAGCGCTCACTAATGATGCCTCCACAAGCCGCTCTTATGAATATCAGCTGGTGTATTATGTAGATAATGACAGGAAACGTGCCCAAAACAGCACAGCGCTTTGAAACATTACAGTTCAGAGCACCCAGATTCAGCTCACATGAAAAATGCGGATCTTAACCCACAGAACTGATATCTGAACGAAATGGTTTAACAGTATTTGAGGTGTGACACAAATTTGCAGGGGAAATAAATCTCAACGTAACATCTCAGATGTATCTGTTGATCTTCTCTGCAATCTAAGTTTCTCATATGGAAATAAATAAATCATTAAATACATTTTCATATATATTTTGGCCATATATAAAAATGATATAAACTGAAAAAACGATCTATACACAGTAGTTATACACCAACTTAAACATCAAACTCATATATGTATGTATATATTTGCAAAAATAATCAAGGAAAAAAGTCAATTATACTGTATGTGGGTCAAAGACGTTAAGTAAATAAATATACAAAAGCGATTATATGTCCATAAAGCACATTAAATGTAAGCAAAGTGTCTACTTTTAAGGTTTCAAATAAGTTTTTGGAGAATAAAATGTCAAAATTTGGTTGAAAAAATGTCATTCAGTGTAACACAATATTTATGTCAAAATTCAAACAACATGCCTATTCTGACTTGTGCATATTAAAATATATAAAAGAATAAGGGCGCATATTACATTTTATTGTGTTTTAAATGAGTAAAAAATTCTTACTGACAAATGGGCAAAACCTAGGATAGTGGCAAATTTTAGAAATGTAAAATTACAACTATTTAGTATTTAGGGTGAAAGTAATTAGTCTTTTAATATGTCATAAATTGTTTTGTTGTAAATATGCCTGACAAGATTGCTACACTGAATTTTAGCAGGTCTCTTCTGTAAATCAGGGGAAAATGTATGATATTTATTTTTGCTCAGAAAAACAAAAACAAAGTTGCAATTTAAATTAAACAGAAAACTTTTTACATTTTTTGGGGAAAAACAACAACAATTTAAATCAGTATTACACTTATTGTTTTTATGCTGAAACCCTTTTTCGTCTTTGACCCATATATTATAATTTACAAATTTATTTACAATATATTTGCATCACATTTTAATAACTCTTATTTTCTCAAATTTTCCCCCTTTTTTAGATATATTTTCAATCTAAATATACTTATATTATTCAGAATATATTTTTCAAAATACATTGGCATTCAAAAGTTCAAAGTAGATTTTGGCATGTCAAGGTCTAAATAGAATATATTTTTTCATTTTTAAAATATATTTCTCTAAGCTGCACTGCTTACCATATTTATTTAAAATGTAGATTTTTTTGGCAGGAAAACAAAAAATCTTACAGTATGTCAACAACTGCATTTGTGTCATTCACACTCGTTTGTGTGTCTTCATCTTTGTATTTCTCTTAAGGCTTTGTGCAATGAGCTTTTTCTCATAACTTCCTCACCTCTGTGGAGCCTGTAAAGGCCACTTTGTCGATGTTCATATGACTGCCGATTGCCGCTCCAGCCGTTGGTCCAAACCCAGGCACGATATTCACGACTCCGGGTGGAAAACCGGCCTGTATATAGCATGATAGAAAGAACAGGCTTTATTTGTATTACTTATAAAAACATACTAGCCTAATACTGTTTGATACAGCTTAATTCTTTCCTTTAAAGGAAGAGGTTAAAATGGGAAATGAATAGGTCAAAAAATTACCCACGGGGACAGAGACAGCAAGACTGCTGATGTACACAAAGAGACGCTTTTCTTTTGAGGATTTAAACCACATTGATCTCATTCATGATGATGAAGACATAAATCATCTCTTTTTTAGATACAGACGGCTTGAATAGAAAGCAAGTGGCGGTTGACTGAAGGCTTGCAGCTGCAGTTCATGTCCTTACAGCAATTCATGTGTCCTGCTCTCTTTGAAGAATTAAACATGATAATTTGAGCGTTTTGTATAAACAGAGACAGAGCAACAACTCATTACCCACAATGCAGCTGAGTCATTTTGTAATACAGCCAGGTTCCCAACCGGGTTTATACCCCTCTAAGACTGCAATCAATGTTCAAACGTTTGAATTAGTGCTTTCAAACGATTAATCGCATCCAAAATACAAGTTTTTGTTTACATAATATTTGTGTGTGTACTGTGTATATTTATTATGCTTATTTAAATACACACACATACAGTATATATTTTTATATTCATATAATTTATATTATATATAAATATATTTAATATATAAACAACATATTTTTCTTAAATATATACATGCATGTGTGTGTGTATGTATATATACATAATAGATATACATAGTACACACACATATATTATGTAAACAAAAACGTATTATGGATGCGATTAATCGTTTGACAGCACTCGTTTGAATAAATATATTTAATTCATTTAATTACTCATTTTTGAATATAAGATCAGGTATTGTAATGTAATATGTAATATTTTGAGTAGTTTTTTTATTTGAATGCATTTTATTTATTTTTTAAAAGGTATTTTAAAGATTTTTTTACACTGTAACCTTTAAAAACATTTATAGTACCTTTAGATTTTATAAATTTATGAATCTAGCAGATAGCCTGGCTTTTAGCCAAAGTGACTTTTAATCCAAGAGAGACAATAATATTGTTATTGTTATGTATGGTTTTTTAAATACATATTTTATTTTATTTAGTTATATATTATATTTTATAAAAGTTAAAAATTATATAAAAGTTTGTTCTTTTATTTTTTATTAATTTCTTATTTATTTAATTTTACAAAAAGTAACAAATTATACAAATGATTTGCTTTTTTATTTATTTTTTGCTTTATTCTATTTCATAAAAAGTAACAAATTATACAAAAAGATTTGCTTTATTTCATTTTTTCATTTATTTGATTTGTTTATTTTTTATAAAAAAGTAAAACATTTTATAAAAGATTTGCTTTGTTATTTATTTATTTAGTTATTTATTCCTTGCTTGCTTGATTTTATTTCATAAAAAATAACTAATTATAAAAAAATATTTGCTTAGTGTTTCAATGGACCAATCAGAATCAAGTATTCCAGAGACCAATGCTATAATTTATTATATCCACTGGGGTGCAAAAAGCCTCTGCCAAACTTTAATTTGGCATCATAATCTCACGATCCCCATGCAGATCAATCATGAAGCCCCGGCTGGGAAACCCTGGCTTACAATGTTTGTACAATGCACACAATCAAACCACAAAATCTGGGAGCGAGAAAGGCAGCGCTGATGCAATCAATCATCAATGTCCATATTAATAAAATCAACTCAACAAACGAGAACGCCAAACCAAAGCAATGAGCCCCCGCTGCCCCCTCACCTCCTTTATGAGCGCTCCAGTGTGAAGAGCCGTCAGCGGGGTCTGCTCAGCCGGTTTAATGACCACCGTGTTCCCACAGGCCAAAGCCGGCGCGATCTTCCACATAAACATCAGCAGAGGGAAGTTCCACTACAAATACAGAAGACAATTAAACGGATTATGCAATAAATAGCTGACAACGGGTTGTTGGATTACTAGAAAATAATGCACCCCCGAGGTGGTAAATCGTGTCGTTTACGTTATTTTCTAACAGTTCAGTGGACCAGACACAATCACGGTTACCACACCTTACCACATTGTTCAGATGTTGTATTTCAAGATTTTCATCAGGTTTTTGTCCTTGTGTGTAATTTCTTATGCATCCATTATTATGGGGAAGTCGTGGCCTAATGGTTAGACCCAAAGGTTGTGGGTTCGAGTCTCGTACCGGCAGGGATTGTAGGTGGGGGGAGTGAATGTACAGCGCTCTCTCCCACCTTCAATACCACGACTGAGGTGCCCTTGAGCAAGGCACCGAACCCCCAACTGCTCCCCGGGCGCCGCAGCATAAATGGCTGCCCACTGCTCCGGGTGTGTGTTCACGGTTTGTGTGTGTTCACTGCTGTGTGTGTGCACTTAGGATGGGTAAATGCAGAGCACTAATTCTGAGTATGGGTCACCATACTTGGCCACATGTCACGTCACTTCACTTCACTTCATTAATTCCAAAACATAATTTTAAAACTAGCAACGGAGGATTGAGCCATTGATAGCAGACTAATGCAGTTAATAATGAAGTTATTAGACAGACGGAAAGAGAGAGAGAGAGAGAGAGAGATTAAGCGTGTGGGAGAATAATAAAACGTCATTTTAGAGCAAAAACATGGAAATAATTTTTTTTGCTTTGTGTCGTTGTAGGGTTTAGTTATTTTGCTGTTGTAAACTGTAAAGACCTTTGAAATAACTGAAATCATTTGGCGCAGTGATATGAACATGTAATGCGGTCAATACCTGCCTGGAACTACTTGAGCCATGCATTTCCCTCAAAATAATCATAGACTTTATAAAAACATGGACGTAGTGTCCGTGACGTCACCCGTAGGATTCTAAAGAGCGTTTCTGAAGCTCAAAGTGGGCGGAGCCGGCCGTCACCATCTTGGCAGCACGTCACTCCTGGATAATCGAAAATGGGCAAAGAGGCGGTGACAGCAGCGGCAATCCACCTGTCACTCAAGTGGCCACGCCCTTAATAATGCAGAACTTTAAGGCTTAATATAATTTAAACGGATGAGTTATAAAAAAATTCACCCCTTCACAGTTGTCATGAAGGGCAAAATTAGCTATATAGACCAAAATAATTTTTTGAACCAGGCTGTAAACATGTTTTTTTCTGCTGTAAAGTTGGGCATTTTAACATGGGGAGTCTATGGGATTGACTCCCTTTTGCAGCCAGCCTCTAGCGGCCAGTCGATGAATTACAGTTTAAGTCACTTCTGTGTTGGCTTCACGAGAGAGAGCGGGAGGTTGCCGCTTGAAAATAATTGCACACCTTACAACGTTCATCAACCAATCAGAATCAAGCATTCAACAGCTGCCAACCCCACCCCTATTGTAGACCTCAAATAGCTCTGCCCCTTTTCAGTGCCACACCAGTTGTCTTTTGTCTTCTGTTTGGATTTCCACAGCGTGAAGGTAAGTTCGTACAAATTTATGAATGAACCGCTCATTTTAAAATCTTCCCAATCTACTGACATATGATTTGATATTTGCTTCGAACTTTACAACCCACATGGTAACTTTCGTTAAAGGGGTCATATGATGTTTTTTTAAAGATCATTATTTTGTGTATTTGGTGTAACAGAATATGTTGGCATGCTTTAATGTTCAAAAAACACATTATTTTTCAAATACTGTACATTATTGTAGGTCCTCTATGCCCCGCCTCTCTCAAACGCTTAGTTTTCTACAAAGTCCCTCCTTCCGACAAGCGCAGTCTGCTCTGATTGGCCAGCACTCGTCGGAAATGTAACGCCCCTTACCATAATCGCGAGCTTCATCTTTCAAAATAAATGTAAAGACAGAGCCCGAAAGGGGAACAGAGTAGTGATGGGAAGTTCGGATCTTTTTACTGACTCTGACCTTTGAGTTTCGTTCAGCAAAATGAACTAATCTTTTTTCCGAGTCATTTCGTTCATTTTAACAAAATATAATTAAAATGTTACGTGTTACTTCCCTAATATGTCTACTACTTACGCAAACGTTGATCATACGACAAACAATACAAAACTGCTATAAGAAACAGAAAAGATTAATTCATTGTTTACCTGAGTCTTCAGTCTATGATTAGTTCACCACCTCTTAGCTGACAAGTCTTCGGGTTTGGGCTTATGGGGCTGTCACGTGATGAATGATCGACTCGGGAAAAACCCGAAGACTCGAGATGAACTAATCAATTCTCTTTCCGGCTCAGACTGCATAGGATAAACTTATGGGGCTGTCACGTGATGAACGAACGACTCAGAAAAACCCAAAGACTCGAAACAGGTGAACTACTTGACTAATTCCAGTACAGAACCTATAGGATGTTGCGCATGCACGACTGAACGAATCACTCTCCGAGACGACTCGTTCTCCCCGAGTCAAATTAAAGATTCGTTCAAAATGACCGAATCGTTCAAGAACGACCCAACACTAGAACAGAGTCTCGTGACAGACACAGTGATGAAGCTGGTATGTGTTTGCAGTACACAAGCCACAGTTAAGACAGCTGACTTCACTGTGATGTGTTTCGCTCTCTCTCTCTCTCTCTCTCTCTCTTTCTCTCGCTTGCACGCACACACACACCCCTCTCTCTCTCTCTCTCTCTCTCTCTCTCACGCACGCACGCACGCACGCACGCACACACACAGCTCTCTCTCGCGCGCACGCACGCACACACCGCGTCTCCCTGACATGGCTGCTTCAACACTAACTGCGGTTACTGAAACCACGCCGCCTTTCTTTGCGTGAACATTTGTGCCGCATTATACAAATATTTCCACATAGTGAGGTAGATATGTGGGGGTGTGTTAGAACGAGCCGTTTTAGGGGGGCGTGGCAGAGTCTTAACTTTTATAAAGATTATCTCTTTGGTTTTGAGACTTTAGTCTTTGCAACTTCAGGGATCTTATCTATGCACAATCAGCTTGTAACACTCCAAAGAGAAAGGAAAACTTGAAATCGCATCATATGACCCCTTTAACTCTACAATAATTAAATCCACTTCATTAGCTAATTACTCTTCAACAGCAATGCTATAGAGCTGCCGCAAAAACATAAGTTCAAAGACAAATTTGTAAAGACGGCTAAGCACTTGTTTCGCTGACATAAGGTCTGTAAAATCAAATAAACAAACAAATGTACATCAGTAAAGCTGTGCTAGTTTGATTTCAGCCTGACTGCTTCGGAACTGTATTGTTTTTTTGTTTTGTTTTTAAAATGGTCTTTGAGTGTTCCTGTGTGGTTGCTAAGGTATTCTGAGTGGTTGTTATGCAGTAGCTGCTACAGGTTTGATAAAAACGGAAACTAAAAGTAGAATAAAAAGCTTGTGAATAAAGTGTGGCATGAACATTGACGTTACCTCAGCCGTCTTTAAATATAAAACACACCATCAAGTTAATTGCTGTTCTTTGTTAAATTAGTTACATAAATATGTACACACATCACTTGTTTACCAGTAGAGAGTTGTTATTTGTACATCTTTTTGTATGTTGTCATGCAATTAAACATGTTTCTGGATTGCATTTTCACTTTTCTTATTTTTCTCTCTGAGTGACTCATGTGCGCTGAACGCCAGCGTTGCTTTCTCTAATTACCACCAAATCAATCCCAAATATGAATAATGATGTTATGATATAATCTCCAGTGTCTATCAACAGTTTGTACTTTGTTTCCAAAGCAACGTAAGACAATAAAAAGCAATTTTCATTGATGAACTAAGATTCTTGGATGGCCTGATTTGATAAATGATTTGTAGGCTTTTGTAACATATGAAAATTGAGACAATATGGTGTATCAGTGATGACAGTAACTTCATTTATAGTCAAGAACTACCCACCCAGAATCTTCAAACAGGCCCTTTAATTACAATAACTTTGTTTATTATTATCAGAACAAAGACGACTGCCCTATGGATGCATGCCATTCATTCAATTAGATTCTTTAAGAGTATTGGCAAAAATTGTGCAAAATTGCAGAATTCACTGTCACAATGTTTGGGTTTTCTTTGCAGTTGCTAGGGTGCGAATGAGAATGAAACAGCTTTGAATTAATTTTTGCACTAGGTTGTTGGGTGGTTAATAGGGTGATACATAACATTCATAACTTTGAAAACAGTCAGAACACCCTGGCAACCACTCTGAAAACCCTAGCAACACCCCAGCAACCACCTAGAAATCCCCTAACAACCACTCTGAACACCCTAGCAACCACCTACAAATGGCACTGCAACCACTCACATCTCCTTAGCATCTTGGCGGTTAGAAACACACTAGCAACCACTTAGAAAACACTAGCAACTACCTGTAAATGCCATTGCAACCACTAGGGCTCTATGAAATCTGTTTTATTTATTCCCAAATTCTGTTTTATTTATTCCCAAATAATGTAATCTAATTACAAATACTTAATCTTTGGAATCTGATTACGTAATCCAGATTACATGCAATCAGTTACTGCCCAGCTCTGAGTACCTGTACAGTTTTTTAGCGTGTGTTGAGATCTTTGGTGGGCGTATGGGAGATATTTAATTACACGAGAGTCGAATCGTACTTTCGTTTCATAGCTCACGGTCACGCTGCTTTCCTGTAATTGGAATTAGTGTGGATTTAAAGCTTCACAAAAGATCCCCATAGTGACGTCAAGTGAGAAAACAGCCTCTGTACAGTAAGGAAACCAAACAAGGCCTTGTGGTTTCAGAGAGTCGTGAGCTTTCATAAACATTCATAAGCTTCAATGGCACGTCAGATCATAATACAGTGCGCTGTCTGCGAGAGGGAGCGGTGTATTTGTGTTCGTCTGTGTGTGTGTCTCTTTATCCAAGGTGTTTGCTTACATGCATCTGAAAGACTCTAGACAGGCGTTGGCTACAGTATATAAACAAAGCCATCATGTACAGTATGTGTGATTCAAAGCTCACTGGATCCTATTGTGTTTATAATCTAAACCGTGTCCAAATATGTTTCTTTTTTACTTTATCTGTTTAAATGCCAATGCTGTCAAATTCAACACTCAAGCGTTCGAGAATAGGATTAATCAGATAATACAGCGATTTCATGCTTTATTGCTTACACAGATTACCATTGTCATACTACAAGCTACTTATAATCGGATGTTTTTTTTTACGTGTGCCAAACTGATAATAATAGAAATGTTTCTTGATAATCAAATCAGCATATTAGAATGATTTCTGAAGGAGCATGTGACACTGAAGACTGGAGTATACTGAAATGATGCTGAAAATTCAGCTTATGATGCTGAATTCAGAAAATTCAAAATATGATGCTGAAAATTCAGCTTTGCATTACAGGAATAAATTACATTTGAATGTATATTAAAATAAAAAACAGAAAATATTACAAATATTAAATTAAAAAAAAAAAATTTAAAAAAAAAATCCAAATATGAATAATAATAAGTATTATTATTAATAACTGTGTATATATATATATATATATATGTTATAAATTACCAACTTATACCCAAACTACTAAATAGTAGTGTGATTATTTATTGAGTTAAAAAAGAAAAAAAGAAAAAAATATATTTTATAAAATGATTGTACTAAATATTATAATATTACTGTTTACCGATAAATATTCAAGAATAAAAAATAAAGATGTCTGCACAGAGACTTAGTTATGAGACAATGATTTAGTTAATCATTTAAGTGAACCGATGCATTTAAACAAACCGCTTAAAATTAAACGATTCAATTAAACGATTAAAATGAATCAGTCTTACTACTGCTTCATGTAAGTGAGAGCGTGAAAGCTTTTGAAAACAATCAAACTACTGAAAATAGTTAATTGCACTGATACTAGTTACTCCTAAACAGTGATAGACAGAATAGAATGAATAATAAAAATTACATTAATTTTAATCTTTAAAAATACGGCCACTTGATATCGAAAATTTTTCATTTTTCCACTGAGCACTTTTGTATTTTTAACGGCCTTTGAATAAAGGTAAAGATTTGAAGATTATATGTTTGCTTTTTTTTAACAATAATTAAAAATACAAATGTAATAAGAATTAAAAAAAGATATGAAAAATACGACTTCTATCTAAAAATACCAATTACAAATTGGGATGTGCCATAAACTCACGATTTGCCTACTGTGAATTGATGTTAAATGCTCCACAAATGAAATGTGAATGAAAAAATAGTCATAAACTCACCGGAATAATTGCTCCGCAAACACCGACGGGCTCATGTTTGGTAAAACACACAAAGTTTTCATCTGTTGGGAGGAAGAAAAAAAGCAATGAGGAAGTCAAGAGGCACTAAACGTTATAACACACTAAGCTCCCCTTTGATATATAATCATTGTTTCCTTGGGAAGCTCTTGGATGTGACCACCGAAAACCAAACATGAGAGACAAAGCATTGGGAAAAACACACAGCGACGGTTTCAATGGCCCACACAAAGCTCTGGTCAGGAAGAGTGTATATGTTCTGCTGCTTTTTTCCCCTCTGCTTTCACTGGAGACACATTGAAACGAGAGAGGCCTGAGGTGTGTGAGAAGTCTGGGCAGCAGTTCAAACCCGCTGCTGATCTGCTCTTGGCTTGGATGCACAGCTTTGTTCACCCTCACCGCTCTCTTTCTCCCTTTGCTCTCTCTCCAAGGAGTCAGATATCCAGTCGAGGTAATGTAAGGTAGCAATGCTGTTTTATCACATCTCTTCGCACTTGAACCTTTCCGTTGGAAAATGCCACTAAGATTGGCCAATTTACCACTTCCTTGTTCCATCGTGTATCCAGTTAAAGACTCGAGTGGCCTTGGTGCGACTGATTACTGAACATAGTCTACCTGAAAATGAACATTTACTTCATTATTTACTCACCATCGTGTCGTTACAACAAACCTCCTTGCTACTATTTTCTCTGTGAACTGAAGTGTGGAGAAAGATTTTCAGCGAATATCGGACATAATAATAAAATAAAGGTTTGGAACAGCATGAGAGTGCTACTAATTTCTGCAGTTGTTTAATCAAAAATACAGTAAAAACAGTACTAATATTGTGAAATAACTGTTTTCTGTTGTAATATATTTTAAATTTTTATTTATTCCTGTGATGCCTTTGTGTCTTCAGACACGTGACACACACGATCCTTCAGAAATCATTCTAATATGCTGATTTTACAGCGGTCCAAATTAGTCATATATGTGGTTGCATTTTAGTTAGGATGATGCCTATGTAAACAACAGGCAGCAATGCAACTTTTGTGGTCTTGTGAACTTCATAAGAGTCATCCAATTAAAACTACAGCCCAACAACAAACGTCCATGTGTGACATTTCATATAAGTGTGCATGGATACGTGGGAGCTACGCCTGTTAATCTAGTGCAGCCGGCCTCTCCGAGCCCTGACCTTCTCGTGTTTCCCCACACCGCGCAGTGTGTCGGGGTGATTACAGACTTGACGACTCCCTCACACAATGCTCATCTCTGGCTGTAACTGATCCGACAGCACTGCTTGTCAAAGGTTAAATTTACATGGCATCTAGAAGGGCTTTATTTCAGCAAAACTGTACAAAGCTTTGCCCTCTGACTTCTAACGTCACGGCAAGTCTCCAGCAGCAGGTAATGCAACTGTGTACACAAAAATAAAAAAATACTGCAATCTGACATGTTGAGAACCTAAAAGTAGAACATATGTGACCTTGCACCACAAAACCAGTCATAAGGGTCCATTTTTTAAAATTGAGATTTATACATCATGTTTAATAAATACGCTTTCCATTGATGTATGGTTTGTTAGGATAGGACAATATTTGGTCGAGATACAACTATTTGAAAATCTGGAATCTGAGGGTGCAAAAATATCTAATTATTGAGAAATTCAGCTTTAAATTTGTCCAAATTAAGTTCTTAGCAATGTATATTACTAATCAAAAATGAAGTTTTAATATATTTACAGTAGGACATTTACAAAATATCTTCATGGACCATGATCTTTACTTAATATCCTAATTTTTGGCATAAAAGAATAATCAATCATTTTTTCCCATACAATGTATTTTTGGCTATTGCTACAAATATACCCCAGCGACTTAAGACTGGTTTTGTGATGCAGGGTCACAAATGAGGTTTAAAATGCATTTATGTGGAGCCACAGCTCTGTAATTAAATCCAATCAAAGAACTGAATTAGCTTAAACCCTATGAACCCTACTGTATCATATTTGACACACAAATTTCTAAGGCCTCTAAATCATCAACCCGATTAAAACTTTGCTAAAAAACCTGTTGCACACAATCTACTCCATACCTTCTGTCATCTGACTGAGTTTATACTATTTAGCAAGTAAAACAATTATATTTTTAGTATACTTCAGCTCATGTTTTATACTTTTTGCTGTGAAATCTTTAATAATCTTTATAAAGTAAATATAAGAATAACTTTTATATTATTAGTCATATTTTGAGAAGAACATTTACTGGATTGAAGCCATTTAATTTAAATTTAATTATAATTAAAAAAAATTCAAATGCGAGTATCAAATACGATAATCAGGCTTTTAAGGAACGTAAATTTTTTCACCTCTCAATCATTGTATTGAATTGCATTATACATTTTGAAACTACAGAGCTTTGATAATAAAACTAAGCATTTAAATATCATCTTACTAAGACATATTATTGGGAAATAGAAATTTATATGCATTTTATGTAAGTATTTTATTATACTGTTATAAAGATCTCATTAAATTAACATCACAAGCATCAGAATTTCATCTTACTTTTTGACCATATAAATATCAACATCTACAACACATTACATGTTTATGCTCAGTTTAAGTGTTTTTTCTCAATTATGACCACCATATTCTCACTATATGAGCCATAAAAGCTTGATGTATCCAATATGATACGCCACAAAAAAAAAATAATGCAAATTTTTTGGGAGAGGATTTTGTCTAAGTGTTCAATAAACTTTTCCATTAAAATAAAAATAAAAAATGTTACCCATTATTTAATATGTCAGGCTTTACAAGCTTAAAGGGATAGTTCACCCAAAATGAAAATTTGATATTTATCTGCCTACCCCCAGGGCATCCAAGATGTAGGTGACTTTGTTTGTTCAGTAGAACACATATGATGATTTTTAAGTCCAACCGTTGCAGTCCATCAGTCGTATAATGCATGACAATAGTAACAAAATCTATGAGAGTAAAAAAAACATGCACAGACAAATCCAAATTAAACCCTGCGGCTCGTGACGACACATTGATGTCCTAAGACACGAAACGATCGGTTTGTGCCAGAAGCCGAACAGTATTTATATAATTTTTTACCTCTAATACACCACTATGTCCAACTGTCTTTGAGCGCACGCAGGCATCCGGTGCGTGAGGTGTGTACGCGAGTGGTGACTTTCCACGTATTCCCAACTTCTGAGCCTGCTCGCCTGAAGTTATGGTTGATTGCTCTTCGGCTGGATATCAACACACCCATTAACGTAAACTACGCCAGAGCACGTACACACCTCACGCACCGGATGCCTGCGCGCACTCAAAGACAGTTGGACACAGTGGTGTATTAGAGATAAAAAATTATATAAATACTGTTCGGTTTCTGGCACAAACTGATCGTTTCGTGTCTTGGGACATCAATGTGTCATCACGAGCCGCAGGGTTTAATTTGGATTTGTCTGTGCATGTTTTTTTTACTCTCATAGATTTTATTACCATTGCCATGCATTATAAGACTGATAGACTGCAATGGTTGGACTTAAAAATCATCATGTGTGTTCTACTGAAGAAACAAAGTCACCTACATCTTGGATCCCCTGGGGGTAAGCAGATAAACATCAAATTTTCATTTTTGGGTGAACTATCCCTTTAACTCGACCAAATGTCAGATATGCATGGAAAAGACAGCTTTATCTGGTCAGGATCCAATGCAACATCCACGCAGCGATCCACCTCTGGCTGCGGGTGGAAATGTCAAATTGGCCAGATTGGTCTTATAATTGGCGCGTCGACAATCCGGGTTAATCTGCCCAATGCGATGAACCGTAAACGACACATTTTTCCAAATAAACACTTGAGTTGGGCAGTAGGCGGTTGACGTATGCTAATTGGCAGCCGTTATCAATGGGGAAATTCAAAGCGGCTTCAAAAGAGCGAGATATTCTATCTGGCCACTGATTCCCTGAACTCCGGCTAATCAGCAGTCGCACCTCAGCGATTAGGATCAGAGCCTCTTCCTTTTCCTTTGTGTGCCAGGGCTTTTGTCTTTTAACGGTTTATGTGAATCTAATCAGGGGGAAAGCAGGGAAGCATGTTTTGTCTATTGAGTATCCTGGAGTGGCAGGAATGCTGGGGGAAAGGAAGAATTAGAGAGGGGGATGATACACCACCCAGGGCTGAAGGGAACCCATCAACCCTTTCATGCTCATTAACTCATCTCTAGTATGAAGAGGAAGATGACTTTTGGGAAACACTGGCTGGCTTGAATGTGTTTATTATGTTCACAGCAGAGCTGAATTGAGAGGGACTTTTAAATTGGAAATTCGGAATTCGGTTGCACACAGGAAGCAGAATTCTTACATTCAAGTTTCCATATAGGTTTCCAGTCCAAACCCTACAAATTACTTATGCACAGTTGTCAATCCATATTAAACTTGCATTTAAAATAGTGTTTTACAAATGAAAAAAATAAACACTTCACTTTCAATTATAATTAATCACAGCACTAAATGAGTCAGCTGATTTGAATGAAAACACAAGTGACAAAGTGATCCATTCAACTGGCTTTGATACTCACCGACCGGCATGGTTTTCCCATGAATCTTGTCCGTCCAGCCGGCGTAATATCTTAGGGTCTTAATGCTGCCATCCAGATCGACAAAGAACGCATGCAGGAAGGGTTTGCCAGTGTCCATTGACTCTAGCGTCTAGAAACAAGAAAGCATATGGTTCAACTACTGCAAACCACCCATTCTGAGAGCATAAAATCATAAAGTTATGATTTTATTAGCAATCTGTTTTAAATAGGCATTTTTATTGGGCATTTTCGAAAAGCATGCTCCTTTCGAGAGCTACAAATTTGATACAAAACAACTTTTTTATGCATGTCAGACGCCAAGATTTTAATGCGCATGGGGAGTTAGTAGGGCCAGAAATTACAAATAATAACGCAAATAATAAATTACGCTGCCCTCCAACAATAAAAACAATGTCAATGTGAGGAAAAAAGTATGTGGGTAAGAGCGTGGCTGAAATCATTGGCAGAGTTTAAACTCATGAGAGCTGTAATATGGGATCATGCCCATCAGTGCTGGAATGGTTCGATTACTGTGCACGTGCACAAAACAATATTATGTTCAAGATTACTTAAAATATGATTACAGTTCTAAAGCATGATCATACTGACATCTCAAGCTACTGACAGCCTCCCAAAATTAATCATACTAGATTGCTGGGTGTGTTTTGCATTTCTGTACTTGAATCTATTTGCGTGGGAAACATCCAAAACTGCATGAGTGTAATTGTGAAGTACGCATGTATTTCATTTGATCCATCCCTTTTATTCAATGCACGACTGTAAAAGGCACCCTAAATGGCTTAATAGCAACAAGGCAGTGCAGTATAAGAAAGAGATCCCTTTAACCTCTCTATCTCCAAATCTGTTCTTTATTTCCCTACGCAGTGCTCTGAGTTATTGAAATTATACTCCAGAATCACAGGACATGTTTGCAATTAGCAATCTAAAAACATTACTTCACTCACATCTGTAAAATTTCATTCACAAATGCGGTAACTACAAACCCAATTCCAAAAAAGTTGGGACACTCGGTTTGTAATATGATCTGGCAGTAGAACAGGATGAAAACCAACTCAAGCAAACTTTAATTATGTAAAACCGAAGCATTGTGATACTGTAACGACACTTTTTGATTGATAGATAGATATTTACTAGAAAACTTGCTTACAACTCAAAAAATGCATGAAAACAAGCAAGTTGCTTTCTCAAAAGCATCTAAATCCTAAACTATGATTGTGTTTTTGTTTTAATTGACAAGACTTCAAAATCAGACCACCGTGTCAATGCTCACACCTGCAGTAGTGTTTGACAAATGCATTCAGACCGGCGTGACTGCTTATCGACATTGCGAGTATGTGCCGTGACTAAAAACAGACCGCAGCCATTATAATGAGTGCGCAGGTTCATGCGACTGTTTTGTGTACAATTTATTGTGCTAATTTTACGATCTGCAACACTTTCAATTGGACAGAAATTTAATTCTGATTGAGCTCAATTGGTTCATATGTTCTGACTGAAGTGTTTACAGAAAGACTCTTAAATTTAACAGAGATTTGAAGGGAACCGAAGCCATTTTTAAATAAGGGTTGTTGACATGAGCAACTGTATAGCTAAATACTGATATAAAGACACTTTGTTATACTTGTATTGTTTAAAACGGCGTATGATTATTTGTTTTGTATAAACATGAATGTGTATTCTAATTTAATGTTTTTAAGTAGGCTAGTTGTACATACTGTTGTTTTGTATTATAGTCAAATTTTTCTTTCTCTGTTCATGTTAAAGTGCCCATATTATGGATTTTTGAAACTTACTTTTCATGCAGTGTGTAACACAGCTCTAAGTGAATGAAAGCATCCTGCAAAGTTTTAAATCTGAAAGTGCACCGTGTATAAAGTTATTGTCTCTCAAAAGAAAGAGTCGACTCTGAATCATTGAAACGAGTCGTTTTTAAGACGAATCCCAAGCCGTTTCATGTTGACGTCAACATGAAACATTAGCATATTGCCCGCCCACTTGTTGGTCTTTTCGGTTGGTCTGAATGAAAATGCAAATGCATTCTTTGCCACTAGGTGCTGCTTTTGGAGCGGTAAAAATAGCGGTTTCCCCGGTAACGGCTGTACACAAAGCAGCACTGCGCTCACAAACGCTGCTTTATAAGGCATTACAGGCATTACGCAGATTAGCGTCACGCAAAGGAGGGGTTTGGAAAAATTAATCGTTAGGGAATCATTATGCAAGTAAGGTAAAAATAAATGAATATTATAAGACAATGAAAGTGTTTTTTGACCTTGCATGCATGTCAACCTGTTGTTGGGGACTCCCAAAACCAAAATATGAACCTTTCATAACCCATAATAGGAGCACTTTAACACACATAAATGCTAATATGCACAAACAGCACACAGAAAACACAAATTTGCCTTGAAAGGAATGAATTCTGGATTGAAAATACAGCAAAAGTTGTATCCCACTTTATTTTGCAACGCAGAAGTTCGCCATTTTCTTTGAGTGTGCAAGACTTCCGATTAATTTGCCTTTTTCACACTTCCGTGTTTCTGGCTTTCAGATTGGCGCTTGCAGGGTAAAAGTTTTTCCGGTGACAACAGCGTCCATACTTAACAAGAATAAGTTTGAGAATCAAAGTCTTTTTTTTTTTAACTAATTAGATACTACGAAAGTGCTTGAACTGACAGTGCTTTATTCTACAAAGCGCAAACATTAAAAACTTTTTACATCAACTTCGTGTCATCACAAATAATAGTTTGTTTAATTTGAAATGGTGGCACTTATATTTGAGTTTTGCCGTTCTGTCCGTTTGGTGCTGGCTGTGCATTACGACTCTCCACGTGAATTTTTTTCATTATTATTATTATTAATTTATTGCTGGCGTAATTATGGCGTAAATGTACATTGTATCAAAGACTATAGAAGAGACTTTGGTTGTATAATGTATCCTGGGAATTACATATTAAACAAGAGATGACTTGTATTCATGACTTTATTCCTATTGTATCGGGATTACGTTGTTGCGTTGAGTTTAATACATGCTTCAACCGGACTCAGTCAGAGTTGATAAGTTCTTCTTGGAACAATGGTCATCTGGATATTAACGTTGTCATTTTTAAATCATGATGTGGTGATTCGAGGGAAATAACTTGGTAGATTGAGATATACGTTGAAATGTAGCCTACCGGAGATGGAGAACAGAAACCATCCGGCACTATGTTGAGCATATTATCTTGATGAGTCAGCGATCTGAGTGGCCATATAAGTTACAAACAAGTAAAATGTTATTTCTTTGTAGATTATATAACAACTTGGAAAACAGGCAAAACAGAAAAGGTAAGAAGACCAGTAATGGACCTGTAATGGAACTAACTTTACCCTGCGTTGACGTAATTTCCGGTTTGTGTTGATAAATAACTAGAATAATTTAAACAATAGCTAAAATTAAAACTATTTGCGCTATAAACCAGTGTGTCCTTGAATATGATAATGAATTTAAATACTATGATACTGTTTTTGTACAGGTAAATAACTAGTTAATGTTACCGGAAGCCTCGTACACAGTTGACAAGTCCACGTATTTTTGGGCTTCTTTTTTTTGTGAAGTCGCATAAAAAAAAATAACGGGCTACTGTTTTTTGGGCTTATTTAAAAAAAATATGGTTGCTTGTTAGGAATACCTGACAAGCAACTTTGTTTCTTTACATTTATGATTGCTGTTTTTTTTCCAATATAGTGTATTGTTGACACTGTCTACTAAAAGCTAATCAGTGCAGTAATAAATGTGCTCTAGCGTTATTCGCCATCGCGATTCGTCTCAAGTCATCTCAGTTATCACCAGTAAAATATGGAGTGCCACAAGGATCTGTCCTAGGTCCTCTGCTATTTTCGATATACATGTTGCCCCTTGGTAATATTATTAGAAAATACGGGATTAGTTTCCACTGTTATGCTGATGATACTCAACTATATATATCAACAAGACCAGATGAAACTTCTAAATTATCTAAGCTAACAGAGTGTGTTAAAAATGTATTTGATTGGATGACCAATAATTTTCTCCTATTAAATTCGGATAAGACAGAGATATTACTTTAAGTTTGATTGCATCATATAATAATTGCTGTTAATAGTGTTCATCGTCTGTTTGATTATGTCTTTAATTGATTTTTCCGTACATTTCTGCCATATGTACATTAACTGACAGTCACCACTGATAAGCTACCACTAAATATTGTAGAAACTTAATTTGCTGTAAAGTTGCTTTGCAACGATTTGTATCATGAAAAGCGCTATACAAATAAACTTGAATTTAATTGAATTGAATCGCACCCCTCCTCCCCCTCATTGGAGTAAAATCTCGTTTAACGTGCACACATGTGACGTTATGTGACTAGATGTAATAGACAAACAAGGCCACCAACAGAGATGTACAGAGATGGAGGAAACATGGGAGAAGGTGAACGGTGCAGGGGAGGAAAGTGATTTAATTTGTAAAATATTTTTAAAATGCATTAATCATTAAATCAATAAATAATTGATTAATAATTGAGCAGTAATACTACATAAATATGGTTCGAGATTATTTTAATATACATATGTGGCTATCACTCTTATCTTTACTCTCCTTTTTCATCTCCAAAACTATTCTGCTCGCTGGTGATAGGAGCCCAATCTCATGAAAATGCGTATAAATAGCACGCCATATAAAAACAGAAAATCGTGGTATTGCTACGCAAAAATGGACTTTGGCGTGCATAAGATACGCACGTGTTTGGCGTGCATATAATAAGCAGGTTTCGCGTGCATATGATACGCATCTACCCCACAACCCTAATCCTACCCATTGCATATATGCACGCCAAAGTAAATTTTTGCTTATAAACAGTACGCCAAATCAAAACTTGTGCTATTGATACGCACTTTCTTATCGGGTTCGGATTGGAGGATAGTGTGTACCCTCCCGCTTTGTTGCAATTTGATGATTTTTGTAAAATAACTAATGTTTTTGCACTTCAAACTCCGAGTGGTTTCAGTTTACTATGTTGCAGGCTCATTCATTGATAATAAACAATTGATAATGAATAATATTGATGATAATAAATAATATAGTGATATTGGGCTTGTTTTGGGCTTGTTTTTGAAGCTGCGGTAGCTTATTTATCTTGCGAGAGTTGGCAACACTGCTATCGTACATTCAAGTTAAAAATGGCGCATACAACGAAACTTTAAGCAAATGAGTAGCGATGCGAATTTGGCGTAGAAGTCGTAGTCGCGTCGATCTAATTAATCGCTGAAGGCAGACTCACCGCGAGCACAGCGCGCTCTCGCTCCAGCAGATCTGCGAGTCTGTGCAGTAACCGGCCGCGGCTCGATGCGTCCATCTGCCGCCACTCCGAACCTCTCTGGCCGGCCGCTCTGGCAGCTCTCACCGCCTCATCCACATCAGCCTGAGCAATCACACCAACACTTTAGATTACACTCACCACAATCACATCACACATCACAGGTGAAGCGATTCTTATTAACAATCTGAAAGTGATATTGCAGATGACTAATGGCAAATTATGTTTTTTATTAAATACATCTGATTAAATACATCTTGTATCAGCTGCAAAAATCATTATATTAGTTAAATAACCATGCTTATAATTCTTGCCTGGCAAATTTTCAAATCAGTGTTATATGTATAATAGTTTAACTGCTTAATGCAACACAATTAGGCTAATTGTATATCAACCAAAATAATAAAATAACTGCAATAAATAAACACAATTACAAAATAAATACAAACTCTCAAATCAGTCTCATATGTATCAAGTGCAGTCTAATTAACTTATTCTATCAGCTTCCAAATCGCAAGTAGCTATATAAAATAATTGCAATTAGGCCTACATAAATAATAAGCATTCTCACATATCTGACAAACCCTCAAATCAGTCTCATATGCATATTAATAGTTCAACAATGCAATATAATTTAATCTATTTTAACTCATACATTTAGGCCTACATGAAAAATAACAATTCGTAAATGCATGGCAGATATACATGTATCCCAATTCACTGTACATGAATCCTAATTTTTAATTAGACATCTAATGAGTCAAATTCATCTTACTTTATCCGCCTCCTCGACGTCACAGATTTTGACACCTGTTGCAGGGTTGATCGTTGGAAACTTCTTTCCTTTGATTGACGTGTGCCATTCATTATTGATAAAAATCTGCAACAAATAGTTAGACTACAGTGAAACTGGTTTCCCATTACAGTTAAGACTGATCTAGTTCATTAACTTGTCTACGAATATAAATAAAAAATTATAAATATAAATATCTTCTTTAACTCCCACAAATATGAATAAAAACAATGTAAACTTATTAATAAATGTAAATATCGAGTTCATTGACTTGCCCACAAATATAAATAAAAATGAGGTCAAAATTCAATAATAAATGTAAATAACAAGCTCATTAACATGTCCACAAATATGAATAAAAAATTTAATAATACATGTAAATATTGTGTATGTATCCCTCATTTAAAAACCCTTTAACCATTTGAACCCTCTTATAAAAAAACAACACTTCTTAAAGATAATGTTCAGCTCTCAAAATATGTTCCTTAAATCAGTGCATTAGTTTTGTTTTGGTTCTTTAACACACCAAGTTCTAGTTCTAAAGAACTATAAAAAGACATCAGGCTTTAAAATGCTCTATTTTTTAATAGTAACAGCCTAAAGTTTCTTATAAATGTCATTGAAAAAGACTAAAGGACTAATCAGTCTAAAACTCCACTCGCTCTAGTATTTGTTTGCGATTTAAGGCTGAAGACGAGCTCTTACCTTAGTGTGTTTAATCTCAGGGATTTTCACAGGCTGTGGCAGAGGGGACGTGTTTCGAGCGAGCCCGTTCTCTATAGTCCCGTTCTGTGCCATTGTAGCGTGGTCGCAGTGAAGTGCACTAGAGATGAAGATCACAGATCACTGTTCACTCCATCCAGCACACTTTATAAGAACTTTTAAAGGTCCTCCCCCTTTGGGCAAGTGTGCACTCCGCCTACCGTGACAAACACAGTCTCCGTCCCACCTGCCAGTGAATCAGTCTTTCAAACACAAAAAAACATGCTGTTTTCCAGATATGAGTTTCCGTAATGAAGTTTTAGATCAAACATGGAAAAAGGCTGCCGTTCAGGAATGTTTTAGACTCTCAAAAGCCCCGTTCCACCCGCTCGCCTCTGAAACCCAACACGATTGGCTGTGTCTTCATGTCAGGCGCTGGAGGTAATGAGTGTGAATTAATTGTCCGGCAATATTTACATGGCTTTGATCTGCTGGCGGAGCGATGGATTTGAAGCGACGGCGGGCCGGGCATCAGATGGGCCACGGTGTGATGCGTTCTGATGTTCATCATGAAGTTGGTTTTAGCACCTGGGCCTGGTGAAGTTGAGTGGAGTTGAATACGTGCAAACAAATGCTTTTGTTTGGCGGGACAAAGACTTTCCCAGCTTCGGGCTCATACTCGGACACTGTTGCCATTGTTTCCCCTCCATTGCTTCTTGTCACTCTTCTTGTCAAAGTTTAATTAGGACAACGAGCTCTCGCGGGCCCATTTCTCACTTCAGCAGGTTTCTAAACACTTCCTAATGAGGACAAGGCTCAGAGAAACTGGGCGTATGGGAAGGAACGCACTGGGAAGGGAAAGTTGCATTGGAAAAAATATGCACTAAAACCTGAAACATGCACAAACCGAGACATCGGAGTTGCTAATCGCACGGACAGAAATTAGTGCAAACTTTTCTTCATACACAAATGATCTTTCGCATTTCAAAACGGCTGACAAGCGTGATGCGGGGCGAAATCGTGGGAAAGCGGAGGCAGGTGCCCTCGTCCCCCAAGCTTGGGTGCTCCGGTTAAATTGGCGTTCCACACCTTTTAAATGAAGGTCAAGTCTCTTCCCCTCTCCGGGCTTCAGCACCGTTTAACAACATTACCCGGCTAATTGCAATGACTGCATCCTCAAAGAAAGCACATGACTCTGCAGACACTTCCCAAAACAAATCTCAATAGAAACACTTCAGCACTGATGAACCCAAATGACACGAGAACATAGAGATTTAGCTACAGAGAACAGGTGCTCCAGCGCAAGAAAATAGACGTGTTTTATATCATTTAAGACGTTTTCTATAGAAGCTTGTTTCCGTATTTTTATCTCGCAATTCTGACTTTATTCTTGCAGTTACGGGTTTGTCCCCCAAGCTTGGGTGCTCCGGTTAAATTGGCGTTCCACACCTTTTAAATGAAGGTCAAGTCTCTTCCCCTCTCCGGGCTTCAGCACCGTTTAACAACATTACCCGGCTAATTGCAATGACTGCATCCTCAAAGAAAGCACATGACTCTGCAGACACTTCCCAAAACAAATCTCAATAGAAACACTTCAGCACTGATGAACCCAAATGACACGAGAACATAGAGATTTAGCTACAGAGAACAGGTGCTCCAGCGCAAGAAAATAGACGTGTAATTCATGTAATGTATTGTAATGTAATGTAAATGTAATATCATGTAATTCTGACTTCTTTTCTCAGGATTGTTAGATATAAACTCGTAATTGCAAGATATAAAGAACAATTCTGAGGGGAAAAGTCAGCTCACAATTCTGATTTTATTTTTTCTTTTACAATTGCGAGTTTATATCTCATAATTATGAGAAAATAAGTTTATATCTCACAAATATGACTTTAGAACACACAATTGCACGTTTATATCTCACAATTCTGAGACAATCAGTTTACATCTTAGAAATCTGACTTTAGAACACATATTTGCAACTTTATCTCAAAATTCTGAGAAAATAAGTGTATATCTCTGACTTTGTAACTCTCAACTGCGAGTTTATATCACATCACTTTTTTCACTTTCACAAATCTGAGAAAAAAGTCAGAATTGCGAGGTAAAAATGTGAAATGATCTTTTTATTCAGTGGTGGAAACAAGGTTCCATACTTTATAGTAATAATTATGCAACAATATGATTTAACACTCTATTAACATTTATTTTCTGCATGCATTCATTACTCTTGCATGTCAGTTATTTGAACAAAGCCCTAACCCAAAGCATTAAGTTAGAGCCTGTTTCACTCCATGGACATGAATGATGCCTCTAACTGTTTGTTGAGAGGTTTGCTATTACTTTTTATAAGCCGTTGGATTTACATAAGCTGTTCGTTTTATCATTCGTTCGCTTGGTGGTTGATAAAACGGGCAAAACATTGAATGAAGGATCCAGGCCATAAGGGTCCAGAAAATGATAGAGACTTAGGAATGGGGTCTTTTGACTTGGGCCAGTAAGCAACCACTTAGCAACCATCCAGAACACCCTAAGAACCATCCAGAACACCCTAGGAACCATCCAGAACACCCTAGCAACCATCCAGAACACCCTAGGAACCATCCAGAACACCCTAACAACCAGCGATAACCCCCTAGGAACCATTCATAACACCG